ACACAGCCCCGATCCAAACCCCCCCCCCCCCCCTTCCTCTATGTCTTGCGTGAGGACACTTGTGAATGACTTCAGAACCGCCCCCCCTGCTCCCTATCCGTTTGGCCCATATTCTCTTCCCTTTTGTTTCGGCAGCCAGTTCGGTATCGGGTCGTTCCCGGTAGAGGAGCGCTGGCAAGGAATATTCGAACAGTTCCAGAAGTTCCTGGAATCCGGCTGCAGCCGGGAAAAGGAGGAATCTTTCCTGGGATTTCACACCAAGTCCAGCAAGAAAATTCAGCGCTCCCAGGAGTACCTGTGCTGCAATCTGTAAGCTTCTTATTGGCTCTCGGGTTTGATACGATTCGTGTTCTCCTCGGCCCACCAACCACTGCGAAGGTTCTCAGTCATCCAGGTCACGGGATATCTGTAAAAAATACAGCTCGCTCGCCCCCCCACCTTTCCTGCCCTGCCAGGCCTGTGCTCGGATCAAGGGTGTGGTATGGAATTTTAGGGGGGGGGGCCCACTTTTTTTTACCCCCATTTTTGGAGGTGGGGTTCCTCCTAAATATTCCTGCCAGACCTAACGGGTCCGGTATTGTTTGGGAGGGGGAACCGCACACTTTTTTTTTTCTTTAGAAATGTCAGTTTTGCTGCAGCAGGTTCTATACATCGTACAGATCCGCCACTTCACAGGCAGTTCAAGGCAACCCCCCAGGCCTATACATGTCCCGCAAGGCAGTACCCGGATCCCCATACATGTTCCCCAGGGCAGTACCCGGACCCCCATACATGTCCCCCAGGGCAAGTAAATACGTATTTCTTATGATTCTCAACTCCATCTAGTGGCCATAATGTATTATTACAATACTTATGAATGTTAATTTAGGCATTATTTGCCCCAAATGAATGCTCACAGATATTAGTATGGCAGGTTATTTATAAATAGACCCCAAAGTGAACAAAGAACACATACCCAGAGATGTGGGCATGCGATTGGCCTTCCTGGCGTATGACAATGGACTCCTAGTAAGCAATTTTAATTATTTTACTCATTTGGATGGCACTGACATCCTTTACAGAGAACAATGACCCATTCATGTCAGTCAGTGCCCCCCGATGGATCTTAGTCTGACCCCCTACACTACTTTCATGCTTGGCTTGACCTGAACAAAGCAATGTAGCACTTTGGAACTTTGGGGGAATAGGTTAAGCTGACACAACTATGACCCGTTTTCTGATGACAATTCCAGGGGCGGGATCGAGGATGAGTCGGTGAAGATGGAGGATATGTTGAAGAACCTGAATCTCCAGCGGGATCCTGAGGCCTTCCAGGTGTATCTACAGAAGGTAAGGAAGGGAACGTTACATAGGGACTGGTTCTCTTTATCTGGTCTTTTTGTTGTTATTATCTCTCTATTTGTAACATTTGTAACAACAGATACTGAAACACGATCAATAAACACAAATGATTGTGAGACTGTCACAGGTCGGCTCAGTAGATCGGGAGGTGAGGGAACACATACCGGCGTTCGCTCACCTCTCGGTCCTGTCACGGCTCTCTGCCGTGACAGGGGAGAGGCTGGATTCCCCCCTCCCCGCTCCGATCCGCCAGCGCTGACTGGCGGAACGGACGGGGGAGGGGGCGGGTACAGCTGGCTCTGCCTCTAGATAGATGGCTCTGCCTGTCAGTCACGCAGCTGGGCGGATCCCGTCATAATTGTCGGGATCCGCTTCAGCTGCGGCATCTCAGTATACTCAGCACCTGCTCGCGGTATACTGAGCCTAGGGTGACGGGAGGACGCTAGTTTGTGTCCTCCCGTTACCCTTAGGAGAACTATGGGGTCAGGGATTTTCCCCATAGTTCTCCTTAGGGTAATGGGAGGACACAAACTAGCATCCTCCCGTCACCCTAGGCTCAGTATATAGGGAGCTGTAGCTCGCGGTATACTGAGACGCCGCAGCTGAAGCGGATCCCGACAATTATGTCGGGATCCGCCCAGCTGTGTGAGTAACAGCTGGCTCTGCCTATCTAGAGGCAGAGCCAGCTGTACCCGCCCCCTCCCCCGTCCGTTCCGCCAGTCAGCGCTGGAGGATCGGAGCGGGGAGGGGGGAATCCAGCCCCTCCCCTGTCACGACAGAGAGCTGTGGATCGAGAGGTGAGCGAACGCCGGTATGTGTTCCCTCACTTCCCGATCTACTGAGCCGACCTGTGACAGTGTCATTGTCACAGCTCGGCTAGAACTATGAGGTGAGTGAAAAGCACCCCTCCCCCCCTCATAGTTCTCCTTTAATGTCCTATGTGACAGACTGAGGCTGCTTCATGTAACAAGAGCACTCCCAAGCAGAGGAGGAGGTCTTACTAGAGATCCAAAAATGTAAAATGTAGGAAGGGTGGCACACCAATGGTAATACAAGTACAGAAAGATATTTTGAGTAACTAATATAAAGAAGCCAACACATGTTAATGGATTCCCACCCTTCATCAGGGCTTAAATCAGGATTTAATCCTTGATGAAGGGGGAGGTGTGAACCAAGAAACATGTTCTTATTTATATTATTGGTCTTCCAATAAAATATATTTTTGGACTTTATTGTCGTTGGTGTGCTGCCCTGGCTACATTTTACACATGTGTATCTTTCTCAAGACTCCTTCCTTTGTTATGGAGCCATTTATATATTAAACTGCATGCAGTTATGGAGGGACCATGGCTTCTATGGAGGAGGGTTTGGGACCCAACAAGACAGTATAACCATACAGGGCACGGTGATATAGGACTAAAAGAATCCAAGATCCCTCCAACCTCATCCAGATACAGAAGTACATCTCATTCCATCACATATCCAAGTTTATGGAGACCATGGCTTCTATGGAGTATGGCTTGGGACCCAACCACGCAATATAACCATACAGGGTATGGTGATATAGGACTAAAAGAATCCAAGAGCCCTCCGACCTCATCCAGATACAGAAGGGAGTCTCATTCCACCACATATCCCAGTGTAGGGAAGCCATGGCTTCTATGGAGTATGGCTTGGGACCCAACCAGACAGTAGAACCACACAGGTCATGGTGAGAAGGGACTAAAGGAATAAAAAGCCCTCCAACTGAATCAGTGCTTAGAACAGTAAAGCCTTCTTAATAGAGATGTATGTCTCATTCCATCACATATCCCAGTTTATGGAAACCATGGCTTCTACGGAGTATGGCTTGGGACCCAACAAGACAGTATAACCATACAGGGTGTGGGGAGAGGGGACCAAATGAATCCAAGATCCCTCCCACCTCATCCAGATACAGAAGTACATCTCATTCCATCACATATCTAATTGTATGGAGACCATGGCTTCTATGGAGTATGGCTTGGGACCCAACCACGCAATATAACCATAGATGGTGATATAGGACTAAAGGAATCCAAGAGCCCTCCAACCTCATCCAGATACAGAAGGGAGTCTCATTCCACCACATATCCCAGTGTAGGGAAGTCATGGCTTCTATGGAGTATGGCTTGGGACCCAACCAGACAGTATAACCATACAGGACACGGTGATATAGGACTAAAGGAATCCAAGAGCCCTCCAATCTCATCAAGATACAGAAATACATCTTATTCCATCACATATCCAAGTGTATGGAGACCATGGCTTCTATGGAGTATGGCTTGGGACCCAACCACGCAATATAACCATAGATGGTGATATAGGACTAAAGGAATCCAAGAGCCCTCCAACCTCATCCAGATACAGAAGGGAGTCTCATTCCACCACATATCCCAGTGTAGGGAAGTCATGGCTTCTATGGAGTATGGCTTGGGACCCAACCAGACAGTATAACCATACAGGACACGGTGATATAGGACTAAAGGAATCCAAGAGCCCTCCAATCTCATCAAGATACAGAAATACATCTTATTCCATCACATATCCAAGTGTATGGAGACCATGGCTTCTATGGAGTATGGCTTGGGACCCAACCACGCAATATAACTATAGACGTTATGGTGATATAGGACTAAAGGAATCCAAGAGCCCTCCAACCTCATCCAGATACAGAAGGGAGTCTCATTCCACCACATATCCCAGTGTAGGGAAGCCATGGTTTCTATGGAGTACTGCTTGAGACCCAACGAGACAGTATAACCATACAGGGTATGATGAGATGGGACTAAAGGAATCAAAAAGCCCTCCAACCGAACAGTAGAGCCTTCCTAATACAGAAGTATGTCTCAGTCCATCACATATCCCGGTTTTATGAAAGCCATGGCTTCTATAGAGTAGGAATCGGAACAATTGGACAGAGGCAGTATATCTATATGGGTTGTGGTTAGGGAGGACTAAATGAATCAAAAAGCCCTCCAGCCGGGCCAATATTAGGATTACCCGGATTTGCATCCACTTGTGTTACGAATTTCCTTGGTAAATGTCCCCAAAGGTATAATCAGTTATATCAGTTATATCCTATTTCCTTTCAGGCAATTAACGCCTCTCCTGACCCTCTGTACAAACTCCTGAAGGTGCTGCATGGGGCATTTCAGGCCACATACTCTGGTATGGGGGCAAATTTCCATCTGCTGAGCATGGCACAGGAGGAAATCAAGCACTACGCCAGACAAATCTGGGAGTTTTTCAGGTAGAATCTTTATTGTTGTATTTATTACATTCCCACTTTTCCGCATTCATCTAGTAATTGGGAACTCCTCACGGTGTACGGTACGGAGAATCTGCGATCTCTTCACCCAGACACCATCTCACACTCGTACCAGCATTATGGCCCACGGCACCAGGCCCGGATTTCCCACAAGGCCACCGGGGGCGGCAGAGCGCAGAGGGGCGGCAGAGCGCAGAGGGGCGGCAGAGCGCAGAGGGGCGGCAGGGGATGACCTTGTGGGGAAGTTGCGGGCGCCACCACCCCGTCCCTGCCATCTGGTTGCCATTCTCAATTGATGGGGAGGGGGCTTGGCATTGCGGGGGGGCGTATTGTGGAACCTGGGGGAGTAAATCCGGCCCTGCACGGCACGGTTAATCCCACCCATAGTTTTCATTTTATCCATTCACTTTGTGGGTGGGCGAGCCTAAAGAATGTCCACTTTATAGGCTGGGTCCACCCAGACACCATCTCTAGATATGCAGGGACCACCCACTCCATCCCTGCTATCAAGGCCTTTTTGGTTTTCTATGCAGTGGCTCGAATAAGGTTGATTCTATGATCCTGGAACATGATTGGCAACACACTAGACGTTCTTTCAGCACCTCATTCAACACTGCAAATACCTCTGATAAATCGTGATGACGGCTCCCCTTAAAGGAGAGCTATGAGGCGAGTGAAAATCACTCCTCCTCATAGTCCGAGCCAACGTGTGACAATGAAACTGTCACACGTCGGCTCAATAGATCGGGAACACATACCGGCGCTCGCTCACTTCTCGATCCTGTCCCTGCAGAAATTGCACGTGTTTCTGCGCACTTCCGGTTTTCGCGCGCATGCGCAGCCGCCATCTTGCCCTGACACGATGACTGACAGTTCACGGCTCTCTTCAGGGATTCCCCCCCCTCCCCGCTCCGATCCTCCAGCGCTGAGTGGGCGAATGGACAGGGGAGGGGGCGGGCACAGCTGGCTCTAGCTCTAGATAGGCAGAGCCAGCTGTCACTCACGCAGCTGGGCGGATCCAGACAGTAATGTCGGGATCCGTCCCGGCTGCGGCGTCTCAGTATACCGCGAGCTGTAGCTCCCTATATACTGAGCTTAGGGTGACGGGAGGACGCTAGTTTGTGTCCTCCTGCTACCCTTAGGAGAACTATGGGGAAAAACACTGACCCCCATAGTTCTCCTTTAATGCTCCACCCATATTACTAAACTTCATTTTCTGATGTGTGATATTCTCTACTGGCAGAGCACTAATGGCCATGAAAGCTGAGAAGGAAAGCCGCGTGGTTGGGCCGGAGGAGGAAGAACTGAGGTGAGTGATGATATCCGTAGTTTTTGTTATTGAGGAACTTCTCTCCTACTCATGATTAGTCAGCAGAGCTGAAAATTCACTTATTGGCAGAGAGACTCATCTGATTATTATCTCCTATTTCTAGTGATGAGCTGAATCCACATACTGTGATCCTCCCCGCCATCCTTCCCCGATTCCACCCCGACCTCTTCATGCTGTACATGCTCTACCATGAGCAGGAGGACGCCCTCTATTGGCAGGGTATAGTCCGCCTGGGTCACCTGACAGACACCAAACTTCTGGAGTTCTTGGATGTGCAAAGGTATCTATCTATTATCTATCTATCTATCTATCTATCTATCTATCTATCTATCTATCTATCTATCTATCTATTATCTATCTATCTATCTATCTATCTATCTATCTATCTATCTATCAGGGGATGGGGGGGGGTGAGTCCATGTTGGGGATTTATAAGTCCGGGATCTCTCATGTTCCTCTCAGTCGGTGACACTCTGTGACGTATTGCACAGATATTTTCACCGTCGGCTCTTCTCCCAGTACGATGCAGAGTCTCCTCGTCTCTTCTATAGAGGTGAAGTCCGGGATGAGAGCGGAGAGTCTCTGGAAATGAGTGTCCCTTAGTGACTTAGAGTACTTGGGGCACTGTAGGAGGAAGTGGCCCTCATCTTCCAGGGCCCCCTGGTCACACTGCTGGCACAGCCACCAAAACAATGCCAATCCCCTCCAAATGATTGAGTTCAGGTGCTCACAGTGAAAGGTAATGTAAAATTACTACAGAATGCAATGACATTGTAGACAATTGAGCTCTTCCAGCCTTGTGGTCACAGTTTGGTGAAAACCCTTTTCTGTCCCACTATGACTGTCCCCTGTGTACAAAGCCAGCTCCATAAAGACATGGTGTGACCAGTGTGGTGGAGGAACTCGAGTGTCCCGCACAGAGCCCTGACCTCAACCCTACTGAGCACCTTTGTGATGAATTTGAATGCCAATCATGAGCAAGGTCTTCTCTTGCAAGATCATTACCTAACCTCATAAATGCTGCCTTGGCTGAATGGAGACCATTTCCCACAGACACGCTCCAAATTCTTGTGGAACACTTTCCCGGAAGAGTGGAGGCTTTTATAGCCACAGAGAGGGCAACTCCATGTTAATGCAAAGGGATGTCCAACTTGCTTTTATTGGGGTGATGGTTATCTCTCCCTCTCTCTCTCCCTCCCTCTCTCTATCTCTCTCCCTCCCTCTCTCTTTCCTCTCTCTCTCCCTCTCTATCTCTCTCCCCCTCTCTATCTCCCTCTCTCTCTCCCTCTCTCTCTCTCCCTCCCTCTATCTCCCTCTCTCTCTCCCTCTCTATCTCTCTCTCCCTCTCTATCTCTCTCTCTCCATCTCTCTCCCTCTCTATCTCTCTCTCTCCATCTCTCTCCCTCTCTATCTCTCTCTCTCCATCTCTCTCCCTCTCTATCTCTCTCTCTCCATCTCTCTCCCTCTCTATCTCTCTCTCTCCATCTCTCTCCCTCTCTATCTCTCTCTCTCCATCTCTCTCCCTCTCTATCTCTCTCTCTCCATCTCTCTCCCTCTCTATCTCTCTCTCTCCATCTCTCTCCCTCTCTATCTCTCTCTCTCCATCTCTCTCCCTCTCTATCTCTCTCTCTCCATCTCTCTCCCTCTCTATCTCTCTCTCTCCATCTCTCTCCCTCTCTATCTCTCTCTCTCCATCTCTCTCCCTCTCTATCTCTCTCTCTCCATCTCTCTCCCTCTCTATCTCTCTCTCTCCATCTCTCTCCCTCTCTATCTCTCTCTCTCCATCTCTCTCCCTCTCTATCTCTCTCTCTCCATCTCTCTCCCTCTCTATCTCTCTCTCTCCATCTCTCTCCCTCTCTATCTCTCTCTCTCCATCTCTCTCCCTCTCTATCTCTCTCTCTCCATCTCTCTCCCTCTCTATCTCTCTCTCTCCATCTCTCTCCCTCTCTATCTCTCTCTCTCCATCTCTCTCCCTCTCTATCTCTCTCTCTCCATCTCTCTCCCTCTCTATCTCTCTCTCTCCATCTCTCTCCCTCTCTATCTCTCTCTCTCCATCTCTCTCCCTCTCTATCTCTCTCTCTCCATCTCTCTCCCTCTCTATCTCTCTCTCCCTCTCTCTCTCTCTCCCTCCCTCTATCTCCCTCCCTCTCTCTCCCCCCTCTCTCTCTCCCTCCCCCTCTCTCTCTCCCTCCCTCTCTCTCTCCATCTATCTCCCTCTCTATCTCTCCATCTCTCTCCCTCTCTATCTCTCTCTCTCCATCTCTCTCCCTCTCTATCTCTCCCTCCCTCCCTCTCTCCTTTCAGAGCTACTGGATGTCATACAGGACATTGCCCCACATCACTACAATGTACACATTTCATCTATGCTTTTGCTTTAGTTTGTTGTCTTTATGTCGTATAGGCAGCTGTGGCCTCTTAAAGAGGTGAAGCTGACAACCAATCAGGTAAGAGGGAGATGCATGTTTTTCAGCACGCGGCATATATTGTGATGTTATGTGGTTGTTAGTGATGTCTAAAGTGCAGATAATATTGCAGACTTCTCTGCATGTCTAGTCCAGCTGTGAAGTCTTACTAGACATTTAATTTCTTTCCTAATTCATGTTTGCTTCCAATCCTTTCCCACAAACACTCTAGAATATAACCTGACTTGCGCTGCCCCATAAAACCTGGAGCCCAACGCATGTGCCTATTTGTGCTATATGCTCCTTGCAAAAACCAGTGCCTGGCCTGTCTTCCATAATGTATTTACTGAAGAGTACCTGTCACGTGAATTTTGCTTTGTCTGATACCATGCAGAGGCTAATGACTACTAAACCCCCCCTGCAGATATAGCGTGTGCGCTGTGGAACTTCCACTTTATAACCTAAATTTGTGTCCAGTTTGGAAAGAGTGGGGAAGGTTAGAAATTCAGTCAGGTTTTTATTGCTTCGTGTCCCTATATGGGAGATTCCGCCGTACATCTTGTGGGGTCAACAGCGCAGGGAGTAAGGGGAACCTTCCCTGCTTTGAGCATTATAGGGATCACAGATTTAGAGATGCCCATGTGCCCTAGAGCCTAAGTTTCAACAGCTATAATGTTAACGTCAGGAACCAAAACGCAAGATGCCAAATTGGCCCTTTGGACAGTAGATCTGGACAGTCCGCTTGGGGCCACGGTGTGTCTGCTAGAAGTCTTACAAGACCGATGCACCACATCTGCTTTGGCTAATCAGGAGCAGAGAGGATCACTGGGGAGCTCTCTGGCTTGATCCTACAGAGCAGGCGAGGAATACATTTCAGGACGGGAAGACATACATTAGACATGTGCCATTCGTTTCGTTACGAATCGAAATTCGTACGAATTTCCTGAAATTCGTAAATTCGGAAGCATCCGAAATCCGAATGGCAGCTTCCGAATTATATCCGAAATACGAAATTCCGTTAACGAATTTCGGATCCAAATTTTGTTGAAACGGGAACTAATATTACCCCTATAAATGAGGTTGAACAACATGACAAGATTTTTTTTTTTTTATCCGAAATACGAAAATTCGGATCCGCTGCTGCTGATGCATTACAATACACAGGCAGGAAATACGAAATTCCGTTATCGGATTTTCGTTTCCGTTACGAACATTCGTTATGATGAAGTTATAAAGCAAAAATACCTTTGTTAATATATTGGAGTCGATGGTAGTTTTTTTTTTTATCCGAATTTCGTTAACGGAATTTCATATTTCGGATTTAAAAAAAAAAACTACCATCAACTCCAATATATTAACAAAGGTATTTTTGCTTTATAACTTCATCACAACGAATGTTCGTACAGTTACGAAAATGTGACGAAAACTAACGAAAATTCGTATTTCGTACGAATCCGAATTGAGTTTCGGACACGAATTACGAAATAACGGATATTCCAAAACGAAACAAATTTTCTGACGGCGCACAAGTCTAACATAGATCAGGGTTTATGGATCGCATGGAGCCACCAGAGCATCCACTGCTTCCGCCAGAGGATCCCTGTACCTGGGGGACAAACCTGTCCAGTGTGCTGTTTAGCCTGAAGGCCCAAATCCACCTTCCCCACCTCTGGCACACCTCCTGGTGTAAAGACCACTCTCCCGAATTCAGACGCTCAGTGGCTGAAGAAATCTGCCAGCCAATTGTCTATTGTGCGTGGTTGGCGAGGATGAAACACGCTGCCCCGCTTCCTGATTGGCCGGGCAGCCGACTCCATGCTCCCTCATCGCTTGATGAGGGAGCATGCAGCCGGCTTCTCAGCCAATCAGGGAGCCGGGCGCCGTGTAAGGACTGGTTGCCTGGCTTCCTGATTGGCCAGCTTCGACCAATCAGGAAGCCGGGCAATGAGTCATTACACAGAGCCCGGCTCCCTGATTGGCCGGGACGATCACTTGGTGATGAAGGAGCATGGAGACGGCTTGCATGCTAATCGGTAAGCCACCTGGCTTCCTTAAAGGAGAACTATGAGGTCAGGGCTTTTCCCCATAGTTCTCCTTAGGGTAACGGGAGGACACAAACTAGCGCCCTCCCGTCACCCAAAGCTCAGTATATAGGGAGCTACAGCTACAGCTCGCGGTATACTGAGACGCGGCAGCCGGAGCGGATCCCGACATCGATGTCGAGATCCGCCCAGCTGCGTGAGTGACAGCTGGCTCTGCCTATCTAGAGGCAGAGCCA